CCCGTCCACCTTCTGACGGTGTCTGCCTCCGCGCACAAAAAATGAGATGGGCATCGCTGCCTACGCCGACGGCCAGAGGCCCGCGCATCTACATTTTTTCGCCTGACCCCATCAGTGCCGACCCAACTACACCACCACGCGCATGCCTCGCGGCGGATATGCGCAGCAGCAAGAAGGTTTCGGTCATCCCTTGAGGGTGAGTCTAGCCCTGCTCGCCAGAAAGACCCCCCCCTTCACTACAACCCATGTCTAAGCAAAAGCTTGTCGAGGAGCAAGGGGAATGATGGCTTTGGTTGTTTGTTGTTTTTCACTACAGTTGCATGTCCACGGACGCATTTTGACAGCACTTCAGACAGCAGCTGCGTGCCCTGAACTTGTACCATGCCTACCATGGTGTTGATTGTACAGGAAGCACTCCAGACAGCAGTACGCTGTAGTCGACAAACGTTCATTTTGGCAACGTGTGTGTGAGACAGGGGGGTGATGCTCCTGTAGTCGAATGTAGTGTGTGGACGGATAGTTCAGCTTTGGGCACGCAACCGTGCGGTAGGTATTGTAGGTGTACCTCTTGTAGTGCTTCGTCGGTACTACTCGACCTGCACTGACTTTGGCGGTAAACGGACCCGGAGTGTGAACTTCCGGCTGTGGCTGCCCATACTGTGGACGCAAAAGGTCCGAACCCCGATTTGATTTTGGTGTAACGGGGCAAAAAACAGGATTGATTCCAACATGAACATTCCAACACAACTCTACGGCGGTGGGGAGCCCTCCGCAGTGCCGGCACGGACGACACACCGGCACACCGGCTCTCTACGGAGGGAACGAGGGCACGGCAATATTGTCAGGGTACTGAATCCGGCACTTACGTACATGTAGACTACCGGCGTCGGCACTACTCGACCTGCACTGCTGCTGCTGTAGATACTGAGAAGGCCCTCTTGTTCGCTGCACCACTCTGAGTGACATCAAGAACGTGCTGCGCTGGACACACATGGTGCGCACCCCCTGCTTGCGCGTTATGCTACACGGTAAGGGTGCCCTCCGCCTACACGCGTTTGAGTCGTGAACGGTAACGCTAGAAGACCGTTTCGATGCCGGCCGCCAATCTTATACAGCCCAGCAACATGAGACGACCTCTGAACACTGCACTTGGAACCGCCCGAGGGTTGCGCGAGAACGAGATCATTTATTGCAGGAAGAAGGCACCATGGGCGCGCCAAAATCATCAGTGCAATACGGAACGCGTCACCATGGACTCTGCTCGCAAGCGCAAACAAACTCACCTCGGCATCATGCGAGGGGGACCCATTCCCCTGCACCTTGAAGGAAGGTGGTGCTTCCACAATCGCAGCAGCAGCAACAGCCGATGTGCCGTTGTTCGTGAACGAACCATGGTCTTGCTCGGGACTACTCCCAGCTCCTCTCAGGAGAGGCTCCATGCAGCAGGCGGACGGTCGACGATGATGCTCAACACTGCTGCTCGCCGCCGCACTGTCCTCCCGTAGTACGTCGTCAGAAGGGCACAACAATCGCGCTTGCGGCGGGTCGTACGTGTTGACAAGTGCCGATGCGCTGTGGACCTCGCTGTACCGAGCTGTACTGCCGTAACGTCGCGGCGGGTGTGTGTAAACGAGTGCGTATAGTAACGAGTATGTGGTGACCTATGATGAAAAGCCCGATGAAAAGACAAAAATGAGCCGCCTTGATCATACTCGTACGAATACCATTATTAGTAAATACGATTCAGCGGAGCCGCGGGTTGTTCCCGCGGAAAAAATCAACATGAGATATGGTACGCAGATTTCAGATTTCTAGAGAGCTTGCTACTAACAGAGTGTGTGTGTTCTTCAGATCTTCTGATGGCTCTAGCATTTTTGTGACCACGGACCGAGTCTTTGCTAGATTTTGGGATTAGCAACCGACACGAGTTAATGTGAAGAAAAACAACAACAACAAACCGACGTGTGTGATTAGTCTACAACTGAACTGCTACGTGTGTAACCCCCTCTATTTCGCTCTTGATTGCGCGTTATTTATTACTTTTATATTAGAGTATCTCTTGAAGTGGAAAAGTCGGGACGTAAAGGTGAAGATCGAGGGCATAAAGTCGTGCGTAAGAGACGTATGCGTATGTGTATGCATAGGAAACACCGCAAAGTATCGAAAGTCGAGAAGAACATTAGCTAATATCCGATACACCCATGAGGCGCGCATAAGGCGTGCACCCACTGCCTTTTCTTCCCGACGGAACCACCCAACCTAGAGCGACCTACAGGAGGCCCACACACCTAGCCCCTACACAGGTCAACTCCAACCTAGCACTTTTCCAAGTCATACCAACCTTGGTCGATCGCATAAACACCAACCTAGCACCTCTCCAAGCAATACCAACCTAGAGATTTTCCCACCAATACCAACGTGCTTCACTGATGATGCCGGCACAACAAGCTAGGAACGCCCCTGCCCCCGGCTGGTGAGTCCAACACATATCATCATTGATCTACATGTATCCACATACCGAAATAGGTGTAAACTGGGGCTCAGAATAGATGGGACAACAGCAGCACAAAGAAGGTACGCACGTATGATATGTACAGGTGACGACGCAATCCAAATCTAACCTGCTGCTTGTGTGTGCCACACATGCATGAGCTTTTTCGTTCTTTAGAAAGAATTCTTGCATATTTTCTGTGTGTGTCCAGAGGATTCAACACGAAATGATAATGACACACAAGTCTTCTACAAGGTATGTCGTTTTTGCGTAGTCGTGGCGGCTCCAGCGGCTGGGCTCTGTATCAACTTACCAACGGAGCCCCATTTCCCTACTGCTCTTCGACGTGTGCATAGATAGACTACTGCTGTAGGTAGGTTCACCTCTCGAAAAACATTCGCGGAGGAATGTTTATAACAAGAAAGTAAACAAAAAGCAGGCCGGCTACGTGTTGCATATTGTTCTCTAGAAGTGTACGTCTACATCAACCACTTTCTCCACGGGGTTCCTCTCCCTCCCAAATCCTTTCCCCCTCCCAACTGAGATATCAACCACCAACGCTTCCCGCCCAAAAACAACCCATGGGCAATGGGCAGCGGGCAGAAATCCATCTAAGGACGGAGTTTCCGCCCCTCCCCCTGCGAAACAACACAATCCAGCATCGTTGAGATGCATGCATGTGCCGATGTTAATTTTTTTTTCTCTTTCCCTTCATTGGAATCTGTCGTCTGCCCCTCTGGCCCCTATCCTCCACTTCTACCAGCTAGACGACCCAACCGGGGTCACATAGGAGGGGGGGGCTGGACCCCCTCCTGCGGTTCCTGCCTGAGGTATTTTTATCGCGAGAAGGGTACAGCAATCCCTTCCCTCGCGACTTACGAAGTCGATTATGGTTTACTAACAACGAGCTTTGCAGCGCGTCGCTTTCATCCTAGACCAGGATGTGTGGCGGTGTGGTGGCGGCGAGCTTGTGGCCACAGAGAGAGAGGAGGAAGGACGCACACACTGAGTTTTCTACTCCTCCAGCAGCACGGCATGCAACTACTTCTACACCGTCTTTTGTCGGTAGATAGTGTCCGCGTTTGTTTCATCCCGCTCAGGTTATTCATTGATCGGCTGATAGACGCGGTCGATGCTACGATCAGTTCAACCGAGAAATACGCACCACAATAGAGATAAACAAACGCAACACGCACTCACGCACACACGTCTTTAATTGGTCAGCCGATAGCGCGGTCGATGATGCTAATAGTACTAAAACACCCGCCGTTATCAGTCACCATCAGGAAGGAGGGCGTGGCGCCTAAGGATTTTCGGTGAGGGAGCGGCGTGTACTACATACCGTTATACTGCACCAAGCACACACATCCAACCTCACCACGCAATCCTTTATCCACCCTCACGTACGCTGGTTACATGTCCATCATTTGTACCCACTTTGCCTCTTTTGCGACCCAAATTTGACCGAAACGATATCCCACTTCTGTCCACCATCGGACCTCGAAACGTTCTGCCGTGCGGCGACGTGGGGATTGGTTGCCACGATGTGGGCCTCGTTGCCGTAGTAACCCCAGCATTTTCTTGCGTGGCAGCGTGATCCTCACGATAAACCCTCCTTGGCGCCCGGCTTGGACCGTTTCACCGCGGAACAGAGGATACCGGTGTACGCGGTCCTCATCATGGAACGTTGGTCCGCGTTGTACGTAGCGTCCTGCCTCTCCTCTCGAACAATGTCTAGCCCGTAGCAGGCGCACACGATACGGATTTCTTCCCAGCTGAGCTCGACGGATCCTGCGAGGACACGAGTGTGTTGGCGGATAGGTGACAGGGACTCGTAGCGCGGCCATTTTGCGATGTTCCCCGGCTACAAGTGGAGAGAACCTGCAAGCATTTCAACGTCGTTTGTCGCTGACTTCGAGAAAAACACACGAATGTTCAACACTATGTAGTTCAACACTATTCGACAATAGATCGCCAGCGGACAACGCCAAAAAGGAAGTAGCTACCCAACGATGGACCATATGGTGAAGGTGGGTTAGGATTTGGGTAAGGGAGAGGGTCTGCGTACCCCCTCCCTGTTCTAATTCGTCATAAAGTTAGGTTCTCGCGAAGGCGGTGCGTTCGGTGGCAATGAAGCGCAGGATATCTGAACCCGATCAAAACAGACACACTACAATAGGTTATTCGCCGCCGACTCACGCTGAAACCGTTCGTCTGTCTTCCGGAGCGAGCTGTCAGACCAGTGGTACAGCAGCGGACCAAAGTTGATCCACACCCCTCCTTCTTTGAGAAGACTGTGGCATTCAACGGGACGGAAACGAGTGTCGTCACACAGGATATACGGCTGAACGGGCTGAACGAGAATAACACGTGACTCAGGTGGTCAACGTGCTCGTATCACGGCGCGTACTGTATTGTATCGACCATCTTGGCGTCACAACTAGATAATAAATGCACTGGTGGTTCACATACCCATCAACAAACAGACCCGACGGTAGATATTGTCCCAAGAGCGCCCTGGGTCTCGTGGGAGAGGATATCGCGACGCCCAATTGATTACACCGCTGGAAACGAGCCTAATTAGTCTACGACATCAATCGCCAAAGCGCGAGCGATGAAAAGTTAGTTTACGCACAACAGCAGTTGTGCATGAAGTCAGGAGCAAGTAACGCCGACACCCACCGTGCTATTGCCGCAATGTACTCGACCACCACCGGCGCAGTGTCCATGAAAAATACGGTAACGATGGCATCAAACGTCGACGCCTGTCAAACGCGATACATGGCGTGTTACGAGAAAAGCGTTTCCGCACGATGAAAAGACTAGACTAATCTATGTTCGGCATGAAAAATGTTTTTTTCGCATGAACAATGGTGAAAACGCCCGTCGTCTTCATCCGCAGCTGAAAAGCGCTGAGGGCGTTCGTCGCATCAGAAACTTGTGCAACACCGCCGAGGAACATTTTTTCGAAGACTGTCCGAAGGGGATAGGGCGGGAATCGCATGACAGTAAGCAAATGTGGACACGAAAACGGGCACATCCGAACCAGGCTGGGGTAACCGACAGATGCACGCCTCGCCCTTCAGTGTTGAGGATGTTGTATGTTGTGGTACTGATACTGCGGACATCGCGACTCGAGGACGGCGTGTTGTTTGGCGCACGTTGGCGGGGTTCCAAGACACTGCCAAGGTAGCCGCGGGACCTCGGAGCGCGGAGGATGCATGGCTTCTTCGCTCTCTGTTGTGCTCTTCTACCTAAGGGCCTCCGCGAGCGGCCAGCTGAAAAATATGTCCACCAGCTGCTACTTCATATGCAGCACCGATGCACATGGTGCCGTTGTAAGTTTTTTTCCCACCTGATCTTCGTAGCAGGCCAGCCACTCTCCAGATACGTAGGAAAAGTCCAAGTCAGCTTCACCCGCGAGGGCCAAAGGTGGACAGACATCGGGGACACGTATAGTTCTGCAACAACAAAAGGCGGTTTTTCAGCAACAAGTGTTGGCATGGGTGTGAGCAACACGAACGAGGCACGTCCGACACAGTGCGCCTGTGCAGAAACGTTTTCTTCGCAGACCCGGACCGCACAGAGTAGACCTGCAAACAGCAACACTGAGGGTTTGCCAAGTTCTCTTGACACCCTGGCCGCGTGTGTGCAGACCTCTTCGCGAACACAGGCCGTGGGTGCGTGCGCCACACCATGCGCGAGACAAGCTGCAGTGCATGCTGTTACAACCAACTCACGCCCGCACCTGAGCATGTCGTCGACGCTGAACGTGTTGCACGTGTTGTCGACGAAGGGGCTCAGGGTGAACTCGTTCTCCTGCCGCAAAAAAAGACAAACGGTCGCGTGCAGCCAAACGACAAGTTGTCATCGGCGGGAGAAAGTAGAAAGCAGGAACGCCCCGAGTTTTTCTTCGCGAACAAAATTGCTGTGTTCGTCGTGAAGCTGCCGGTCCGCCCTTACCTCGCCAACCCCGTTGAGGATGAAATTCGACACCATGAGCATGAAGTAGCTGAACTCGTTGCCTGCGCAGGGTACATAACGTGCGGTGAGCGCGGAAGAAATCACACAGATGCTGAGGTTTGATACAGCGAGCCAGGCGTTCGACCGTATCAATCAATGTCCTATGTACAACACATGGGGTGAAGGAGGCGGAGGGTGAGATCCACACCCGCCCGTATTCGAGCTGTAAGCACTGGCGCAGGACTCCATCGCGCCTAAGAAAGGTATCCAAGAAAGGCGCACTCTTGCCTCGCATAATTGATTGTGGTCGCTTCTCGTTATTACGTATATCTACAAAGCGCAACTCTCAGACAGTAGTTGAGGACTATTTGGGTGCGGTAGCTCGTCAGAGGCCGAAAGAGAAAGGAGGTTGACTCAAGACCTTGGTTGTTTGGAGAGTGCGAGACATGCAGCAGGCCACACCATCGCCATGTAGCAGTCCATCAAAACATTTCATCCGCGTACCCCCCCGCTTTGCCGAGCACCCCACACAACGACGAAAGAAAAAAAACACAAAATTGGGCGTTTTTGTGCACGCCAGAATCTCGTCGTCGATCGGTCGACACAAAAAACAAGGGTGTACTTGAGATGCCCACGGGCACCGCGCGGGAGGGAAGGGGGGCGGCCGGTGATCGCCCTGTTCTCGCGCGCTACATTGACAGACCTAAGACTATCCCATATCATAGACTTGTGTATTTCATCTTTTTTTTCGTTGAGGTTCGCTGGACTCTTCGAGAACACAAAAAGTCAGCTTTGTCATTTTCTCAGTATGATCCAACGAATCCGAAAAGAGTCTAAGATAGGATAGCAATGAATCCATAGCGTCAGCGTTCTGGTTTTACATAATTGCCCGAGCAGCACACAATCAGTGATATCTGCTCGAGCTTTGGGAAACGTCAAGTACAGGAAACGCGTCAGATTTTCGAGCTTTGGGAAGCGTCACTCATGGCAGCTGGCAGCCTTACTTGCATCGCGCCTTGATGACACTGCTCTGATCAGAGCCCACTCCGGAGGCGCGCCTTGCACACTACACAATAACACGCATCTGCCACCTCTTTGTCCTGTTTGCTCCGTTACTTCCGTGCCCTGGTGCGTAGTGCCTGGTGCTGGTACGTTACCCTTTGATTTTTCTTTAGGCGGGTGTGGGAAGCGTCCTCCATTATTTTTGTTCTTGTTTTATTTTGATCGATTTCCGAGGGCTCTTTTCTCGAACGGTCGGTGCGGTACCTGTTATTTTCTTTTTATCATTTTGTTTTCTTTTCCGAGTGGTTTGCACCATATTTTTGTTTTGTTTCCCCGCGGCGTCGTATGTGCCGGGTATTGAGACCACGGGCTCCCCATTTTTTGTGGACTACAGAGCTAATGTGAGAAACAACAACAACAACAACAGCAACAACAATAACGTACCCGCGCAGCCGTAGCCTCGGGACACGATTTCGTAGGCCAGACGCCCCTCCCCGGCCCCGGGAACCAGTACCTTTTGAGCCCCCCTCCTGCGCGGGTCAACCGGGCGCAGTCTCTCTAGCTCGGCGATGACGGCGCCGTAGGACTCTCGCCGCTCCTCCTCCCCCTCGCCGCTCCAATCTCTCATGCACTGCCGCAGGGTGGTGTTGATCTTGGAGACCTGCGCTTTCGTCGTCCTTGACGGGTCTCCCGGGACCCGCTTTTCGCCGTCCGCCAGGGGGAAGGGGCTGGAGCTGTCTTGGAACTCTACCACGGCGTTCAGGAAGGCCTGGTTCCTGTCGATACCGTCTTGCATCCCCCTCAGCTTTCTGCGTTCCCATTCAAACGCACGGTTCCAGATTAATTAATCGCAGCACCGACACCCACACGGCTGTCAGTTACGCAATCGGACCCCCATGTCCGTGCGGAGTTCTTAGGCCCGATCTCGATGCCTGGCAACCTACCGTCGAGAGAGGCAGAAACTACGCATGAAGTGGTGCATCACTCGGCAGCATTAAGCGGCCCTGTTTGCCTTCTCGAACGATCGGGATAGCTTCCCGGAAAGAAGCAGAGCCGTGGTCGTAGCCACGCGCAACCACGTTGTGCACACCGTTTGTCCTCGTACATGACAAGGCAGCAGCAGCGGGGCCGCGACCACGGGGGTGCTGTGTTGCTGCCCGTGAGGGTTGGGGGCAAGTCAGCGCCGCTTGTTGTTCGCAACTCACAGACGTTCGAAAACAGCGCATGTTAGCCCCCCCTCCCTGCTCGGGATGTTTGTCGAATCAGCAGTCAGCGGTGGCGACACGTTGCTCCCCGCTGGAGGGTTCGTAAGGCAGTCTTCCTTTGGGCCCATCAACTTGTCAAGGATGTATGCAAAAACCAGAGGTTGCGTCTGCATAGGCGGCGGACACCAGTAGAGCCGTGTTTCACAGGGCACACATTACAGCAGGACCTGGGAAGCTACCCCTTACCTCTCATGGAGCTCCCAAAACTCCTCACCCAGCTGCCTGCCCTCTGCAGATAACCGCATGTTGGCCCTGGCTCGATCAACCTCTTTGCGCATGTATTCGGAGTATTCGATGAAAGCGTACCGAACCTGCTGGCATTGAAAGAAACGTGGGCGAAACCGTAGGCCTTGCTTCTCAGTCGGCCCATGGAAGAAGTTGAATGGCGTTCGGAGAGAGGAGCTCGCCGAGTCAGCGTTGCCGAGTAACCAACGGTGTACACCGTACGGTGGGGTAGACTCAGAGGCTCAAGGAGTTTGACTTTTTCACTACTGCCAACTGACGCTAAATATCTGGGGTTACGTCTCGAACGGGTGGTCTTTCTGTGAGATTGTTATGTCTACTTTCTACTAGATCGGAAGGTGGAATAGTTTTTTTGGTTGAAAAAAATACCTCCAGTAGGCTTGTGCGTCTGTTATCATTGGCCCGTTTACTACAGAGCAGTATTACAATATATTGATTGAGGTGTGAGCGGCGCCAATCAATGTGATGGACTCCGGAAAAAAATATGTCTTGGAAAAAAAAGACACCCCATGTGGAAAAGAGGGTTTCGTCCTCGACAGACGTTGGGGAGTTTCAACCTCTATGAAGGTGTTCTCCACATTACCCCCCCCTTTATCGAGGCTTCTTCTTGTTTGCTAGGCAAGAGAAGTCTTCTTGGGGTAACCGGAACCCGACCGGCTGGCGGCGAGTAGAACCACCTTTTTTTCCAACAATCTTCTGTGCGTGTGTGCGGGTACACCACTTCCGCCACGCATTGCCAGAAGTTTCGAGCCCGATAGACAGTGCATCGTTTCTTGGCCCACCCACCGTTTTTCTTTTTCCGTACTCCGGAAGAAAATTAGGTGAGCAGTGGGTTTTGAACCCGTGTCTTTTGCAACCAAAAGCAGACACCTTCGATCTCTTCGTCGACGCCATTGTGGAAAAGAGGGTTTCGTCCTCGACAGACGTTGGGGAGTTTCAACCTTTATGAAGGTGTTCTCCACACCCACACGGACTCGAACCCATGATTTCGAGAGTCAGGGTGGCCTTTACCGAGTTCACGAAGTGAATTGGCTTTTTTACAACGTCGTTGCCGAGCGACGAACACCCAATCCCGATGGAGAACACCGAGTGGGGGGCTCGTTTTACAACGTCGTTGCCAAGTGACGAAAACCCAACCCCGATGGCAAACACCGGGGGGGGAGGGAGGTGTACTCCGGGGGGGAGGGAGGGGTGTGGTATATAAAAAAATAGGGCTAGCAGCGAAAAAAAAAAAGTGTCTCTGCTGTTGTGCGTCGCTAGTTGGTTCGAGCTTTGATCGAGAAATTTCAAAAGCGTTCAAGCGTGTGATGGGTAACCAGGCTAGCACGGGAGGCACTGGTCGCACACACTAGGCCATCGCGCACAAAAGTGTGGAGAGGCGTACAGCAGTACATGTCGCACCAATGGTGGTGCGTAGCAGCGAGCGTCTGCGTGTTGTTGGTGTCATGTGCCCTTCTCCGCGGAAAGAGAGAGAGGCCGCTGCTGCTGCTACTGCTACCGCAACCAAATGTTGATCTCTCTAGATCGGGAGGTGGAATAGTTTTGTGTTGAAAAACGTACCTGCAGTAGGCTCGTGCGTTGCTACCATTGGCCCGTTTACTACACAGCAGCATTACAATATATTGATTGAGGT